CTTGTCCTGCCTTCAGGCGCTTTGGAGAATAGCTTGACTCCCTCTTCTTTGTGGCAGCCCCCGAGATATTGGAACACTGCTATCCTGACCCCCCTCGTCAGCATTAGTGGAGACATAAAGTTTTTAAGATGCCCCTAGTCTCACCTTTTTCTTATAAATATCTAATGTTGAAAAAGAATGTGGGAAAGATGAGTGTTAACTAGTCAGAGCAAAGACATGGGAAAAATGGAATACCTTTTCATAGCATAAAATAAACTTCTAAATGAGATTGTTCAAAACTGACAGAAAAGTCATGTCTGATATATGATCATTGCCCCTAAAACATTCTATTGGTATATAGCAGAATGAGTGAATTTTTTTTGAGTTTCCAATATTATTGGAACATAATATTCCAATAATATTTATCAATTCCAATTAACTCAATTGCTATTTGCCAATTTCTGAGAGCTGGGCCAATATTAGTCCTCCAGTTGTGATTGGATTGCAATTTTCATGATTGGGGCTCAACAGGAGTATTCACAGGGTATGATCAAAAGAGCCAAGATGGCAACCTCAGTGTGTGACACTTGTGACTACCATCTTCACTTTTTTGAGCATGGCCTGTGGACATCCCTGGAGCTAAAGGAGATTGACTAGAACAAACTTCAATTAATACTATTATCTTCAACCTATGTAGGTGGACATGCCAGTGTGGCAGAAATGCGCCATCCCTATGTTCTCGTGGCTTGTGTGGGAGTTAAATTACATGGTGTTGTCAAGGTAGGATTTGGGGACAAAAATTCAAGGTCTCTAAGAAGAATGATCTGGTGCTGAGGAAGGAACTATGACCGCTTTATGACCTATGGACTTCAACTCCCAGAATTCCTGAGCCAACATGGAGTTGAAGTCCATAGGCCGTAAAGGGACCGTAGTTGCCCACCCTGGTCTGCAAGGTCTTCCAATATGGCAGGTCACTTTGTTACTATTTTTTTTAGTTCTGTCTAACTTTGAATGATTGCTAAACAAATGGTTGTAAGTTGAAGGAGACCTGTACATTGCTGCACACTGAAGGAGAGTCTCACAAGACAAACTGAGAACATGAAATTTCTTAACTACACAGGCTGTGTATGGAAAGAGTTGAAGCTTCTCCTTACTTTGTGGGGGTCAATGAAATAACAACGGAGGCTACAAATCTGAGTGAAAAGGAAGGGGGGAAAGGTATGGGATGTGTTGGTCTGAACCAGAAGGATGACAATACCAGTCAGATTGCTCTACAGCCACACCTGCCATTGCACAACAAGCTATGAACTCAATTCACTCAAATTGCCAAGCTAATTCCTGAATAGGAATGGCTTGACTTAATCTGAACAGATCTTGTTTGAACTCACAAGAACTCAACCATCCTCATCAGCATCTAGGGTAGCCCAAGTGGTGCAAGCGTTGGACTCACACAAGAGAAGCCCAGGATCAAAATGCACACTTTGGGCCACTGGTTTTCACCCCAATGCACCTCACAGGGCTTTTGTGGGGTGAAATGATGGCTTCTTTGAAAGGAAAAATACAATATGCACACAATGAATAAATAAATAAAATAAGTTAAGTCCAAGGGATTCTTACTATTTAGTTCCTGGCCAAATTTTTCTTAAAACCACTAATCATCAAAGAGCCACCAAGAAGAACACTCCCACCAACACTTAACAGGGCAGGTCAGTAGTATATTAAAATAAGAGCAAAGCCCTCTTTCTCCTAGTACTGATGATGTTACCTAGTTTGGTAATAAAACATTGGCAAGAAAATCACCAAGCTCAGAGAGCACCAAGGACCCCACAGGTCTCTTAAAACGTTTTACTGTGCTATTAAACTTTGGGTCATCCAACTCTGCAAATCCTCTCTTTTGATTAGAAAAAAATAGGAAACTTTCCCACTTCCAACCTTTAATTTCTTTTGACAACTTAAGATCAGGAACAAAAGTTGTTTTCCTCCACATCAGTGTTTCTCAAACTTACCAAGTTTCTGATTGGCTCTGGCTTCGACTCCCACAATTCCCTATCCAGTGTGAGGAATTCTGGGAGTTGAACTCCACTCATTTTAAAGTTGCCAAGTTTGAGAACCACAGCCCTATGTCATAGTATAGTATGTGATGCCTGGGACTGTACAATCGGTTGTACAAAAACAACTTACATAACCTGGTGCTCTTACACAGCAAAGGATATCTGATTAAGTGGTGTGACCCATTTTGCAGCCAATACAATATATCGTTGTGAATTCATAAGCACATCATGAATAGTGAAGTATGAACTAAGAATTTAGGCAGTGTCCACATCACATGGCTTCCCAACCAGGACTGATTATATGAATGGTACAGAAGGACTCCTGGTTTTCAAAGCAATCCCCATTTGTGGAGGGGGGGGGGAGTCAAAAGTAATATTTCTGCATTGGCTCAGACTAGGATGAAGAAATATGTCAATTGTGGTTTGTCTCCCTTTCTAATTTTTCAGTTCTAAGTTCACTGCATCCTCTTTCAGTTTGTTTTTCTAAAGCATGCACTACAGACAGACCTTTTTTTGTTTAGTGACTTTAGTGACTTTAGTGTTCAAAGTTACAACGGCACTCAAAAGGTAACATGCATCCAGTTTTGGTCACCGCGATGTAAAAAAGATGTTGAGACTCTAGAAAGAGTACAGAGAAGAGCAACAAAGATGATCAGGGGACTGGAGGCTAAAACATATAAGGAACGGTTGCTGGAATTGGGTATGTCTAGTTTAATGAAGAGAAGGATGAGGGAGGACATGATAGCAGTCTTCCGGTATCTCAGGGGCTGCCCCAAAGAAGAGGGAGTCAAGCTGTTCTCCAAAGCGCCTGAAGGCAGGACAAGAAGCAACAGGTGGAAACTAACCAAGGAGAGAAGCAACCTAGAACTAAGGAGAAACTTCCTGACAATTAGAACAATTAACCAGTGGAACAACCTGCCTCCAGAAGTGGTGAATGCTCCAACACTGGAAGTTTTTAAGAAGAGACTGAACAGCCATTTGTCTGAAATGGTTTCCTGCCTGAGCAGGGGGATGGACTAGATGACCTCCAAGGTCTCTTCCAACTTATTATTATTATTATTATTATTATTATTATTATTATTATTATTATTATTATTATTATTATTATTATTATTATTATTATTATAACTGTTCCTCGCACTTATGACTGTCACAGCATCTCCACAATCACAGGATCAAAAAGTGGGCGCTTGGCAACCAGCATGTGTTTGCAATGCTGGGATCATGTGTGATTGTCACTTGTGATCTTCCTAGCTGGCTTCTGACAAGCAAAGCTAATGGGGGAAGCCGGCTTCGCAACGACCACACAATTCACTGAACTGCAGTGATTCACTAAACAACCAGGGCAAAAAGGTAAAATTGGGTGTGATTCACTTAACAACCACCTTGCTTAGCAACCAAGATTCTTGTCTCAGTTGTAGTCGTAACTTAAGGATTAGGTTACTGTTAGGTCATTCTGTGCATAATTCTTTTAACATGCCCATTTGGTTTGTGATTTTTGCCTAATATACAGTCCCCCCCCCAAAAAAAAATAATGCCATAGGGTCATGCATTTTTGTACATGGTTTTCAAATGAATTTGTGCAGATATTTCCCTGGTATGCTTTTTTTTTAAAAAAAAATTGACAAGCTGCACTAAAAAGTCTTGTAATGTTTTTTGCTTGTTTCACATTTTTTTTAAAAGACCCATTAAAATAAAATCAACTTCATTTGTCATTTACAGTTTCTCCTAAAATGCAATATTTTAATGACTCAGTTTGTCTTAGTGCGTGCATATTTCCTTGATGTACTTCTTGTATAGGCCCTGATGCTTCACACATTTATAAATATGAATTTTCCACTTAAACTGGATGAAGACCTGACTCTTGCTTTCAATTACAACCTAGTTCTTTAATCAGTTTGGGTGTTTAAAATTTTAATAGCTGCTTTGGCTACTAGTTTACTGCTTGTACTTCCAGTTACTATGAACTGAGTTCAAGCTGGGTTTGTACGCAGTCCAGATTCCAATAATGTTAGATTTGTAATTGACATAATTGTTTTAATTCAAAGCACATAGAATCCAGCAGCCACTAGTTTTTTGAACGCCGAGAAAACATTATGTATGGGTTTTTTGGAAGTTTCTGAAACAGGTGTTGATTTACGAATCTGCCCCATGTTTTAAATATATTCTGAATTGACATGTTTTAAATAATCTGTAAACACATGTGATTAGTAATGGTGTATCTCCTTCTGAATTAAACCTATGCCATGGCATATGTCAAGAATGTTCTCTTTTGATTTTTGACTTTAATAGTTCTTGCTGGAACTATAAGATTCTAAAATTATTAAAAAGCTCATAATGATGGATCATAACATTTGAACTTTCTAGGACACTTTACTGCAGATCTGTAATTAGTCGTTGTGGAAAAAATGAAATATCAATATAATTAAGCAGGAGATGGGGTTAGATTGCAATGGTATTACACTG